AGCTCAGAGTAGCAGAAATGTTCGATTTTTACCAAAGTTCAAAAGTAAACAAATCATGCTATGCGTCCAATACATGTCAACTGGCGAGTCTAATATTCTTTCACAAGTGTGCTGATATTATTTATACCATTTCTACACTAATGCAGTAGTCTGCATAACAGTAAATCTTCTATTATTTTGTGAGAATAAAAATTCAAAGTGGAAAGCAAAAGAATGTAAGAGGGGCGTGCGGACATGACTAATGAACAGAGGAAATGTTTATTTTAGTGCCAGGAATGTCTTTCTTGTTTATTCTGGACCCTATTCGGAAATTGGCATCTTTTGAAATTTGTGTGAAATTGGCAAAATTGCTAAATTCTGACCACTGTATTGGATAGTTGAAACCAGTAAATGGGTGGTTTCTTGTACTCATTCGATAGAAAAAATGGAGTTCTAGTGAAATAGTTTTGATTTTTGTCGACTAGTACACTGGAATTGGCTGAAAATAGGGCTCAAAGTGGGCAAAATTGCCTATGCGTAAACATAGTCGAGACTGCTAACTTTGCGAGAGCATAATTCCGTAAGTTTTCCATCAAATTTCATACTTTTGGTGTCATTATGATCGGGAAAAGATACTCTATCTTTTCATAAGAAAATATATATTATATATATATATATATATATATATATATATATATATATATATATATATATATAATATATATATAATATATATATATATATATATATATATACAGTATATATATAATATTTTTTTTTTAAATTTGGCCGACCCTGAGAACAAGTCTCTGAGAGGGCCTGTCAACCCTGAAAGGGTTAAAGACACTGGCACTGGGAACAACTTGAGAGTCACTGGAACCCTGTCGCACAAAATATCTGTCCAGAGAGCTCTGTTTCTGGCGTTTCTTTAAGATTTGTCTGAAGTGGAACACAACACTGTCATTGTACATGTTGCCAATACGGCCTGCAAGAGCTTTGTTAGGGTGAAGTTCATCCATAAATGTTTGCACTTTAGTCCACTTTGCACAAATGTCCTTAATCTTTGCTACAACAGCACACTTTATTTCCTTTCCTTTTGCCACGATTGAAGTGATGGTTGAATGGGGTTTGCCATACATCCTGGCAAGCTCTGTAACATGCACTCCACTCTCATAATTTTCAATGATTTCCTTCTTGAATTCAATCATGTTCCTCACTTTCTTTACCAAAGGGCTTGCACTAGCTTTTCTTGGGCCCATGGTGACTTATTTACCAGTTACAATCATAAAAAACAATGGATTATTACGTATGAACCCGCTGGGTGATGGTCACGTGTTGGTAAACAATGGCACACTGAGCATGAATGGCGTGGGAGACTGGCTTTGTGTGCGTGGTGACGGGCGGACGGGTACTGGATGGTCGCCGAATCATGAATCTATTCACGAAACGCGAGGCCAAATTTTGCCGAAAAAACTTGCCGAAAGTCGGATTTTACGAAAGTCGATGCCGCCGAAACTCGGGGGTCCACTGTATTATGAAGAGGCCATAACTATATATTAATGAAGAGTAGATGCTGAACAGATATTAAAAAGGTCTTAGTAGAGCAGCAGAATACTGGACTGGGTTACAAGAGGAGGAGGTAGTATGTGATAACAATCACTTGAAATTTTAAAAAAATTGTCATAGATTAAATACTGAAGATAGAGTACCATAAATTTAGCTCTGTTCCTGCAGCTACAAATAGGGAATTACAAATATTGTACTTGTAGAGGTTGTGGGGAGGCAGCAGGTGATTTGTTCCTTTGGTCATGAAAAAAAAAATTCTTCACTGACTTTCTTTGGCTCATTTTGAGAAATTTCTACAGCTATTTCTTATGGTAAGTGCATGTGTAGGAGATCTAGCAGTGTGTTCCCTGGTATCAGCAGCCAACATGCATGGTATTTTCATATCTCCTCCCCGACTTACTGCCTTTTATTCACTTTTGTTGCCTTGTGTCTTCAGTACATAGTAACTTTTTCACACTGACAATAAATTATGCAATTACATGGGCGAAAATACTGAGAGCTACCATGGTCTCAGCAGACGACACAATGTTCTCATGTGTTCAGCTTCCCTCATTACCTTTCTCTCACTTTCTGATGCTCTTTCAAGTACGTAACTTGAAGTACATTTTGTGTTAACTCTGTAACTTTGATACTGTATGTGCAGCAGAGAGGGAGAAAAAGCTGCACGTTTAATTTGATGCACCCTGCATTGCCTTGTCTAGTCTGCTGTTTTAATATTCACACCACACATTGATCTCAAATACTGCATCACCACTAGTACTTCCAGCTGCCTCCTAGTTACAGTGTCCAAAGACAATGCCTTACAATAATCATTCCCATTTATGCATCCATTAAAAACTTCTCTTTATACACTGTAATGTTATAAAATATATATTAGGCATATTCATAAACCTTTTACAATTTATTTCTTGTACAGTTTACAAGTTAAGAGCTGTTATCCTGCCTCAATTCATTCAAAGCCCAGCTCTTTTTCTAATTCCTTCAATATCTCTCAAGTAGATCTATCTTTTAAGCACAGTGCCCTCAAAAAATGTTGTGAGCAGTAAATTTGATTTAGGCATGAGAGAATGAGTTTGGTGAGTGTGCACAGTATAAAAAAAAAATCCTGCCCTATGCAGTGCATGGTGTGTTTGGTTTAAAATAGCAACTTTGAGGTTATTTTTAGGATGGTTTTTTTTTATTGGTTCAAGATCACATTTGATAGTATAGAACATACGCTACTGAAGTAGAGATAACTTTTTTCAGGACAGGAAGTAGCTTGAAATAGGGCTAAAAGTAGTGGAAATATTTGATTTTTGTCTGAGAAAGGGTAAAACTTCCCTACCTCTCCCCTGGTTGGTCTGTTTTATGGGTGTTTACTTGGTCTGATGCAATTATTGAAATGCCCTAAACCATGACCAGTCATTCTTGGTTATATTTTATTAATCTGAGAGTAAAACTTTGATTTGTGTGTGATATATTCAAAATGGAGGGAAATTATTATAATGGAGAGGCCTGGAAATGTGGTTAATGAACAAAGGCTAGGTTACTTTGGTGGCTGGACTGCATACACTGTTTTTCTTCACTGTTTTTGAATTGGAATTTGTTGAATTTTTGTGTAAAATTGGCCCAGTTACTAACTTCTGCACACTTTATAAGGTAGTTCTGGGTGTTGAAAAAGACAGTTTTTTGTTCTCATTAAATAAAACAGAAGGCATACTAGTGAAATAGCAAAAATTTGGTCGAATTGTGCAATGAAATTGGCTTAAAATGGGACTCAAATTTGGTGAAATTTCCAGTGCATAAATTACACCCAGACCACCAGATTTACACCTGCTTAATTCCATAAGTTTTCTGTCAAATTTCCTATTTTTGGTATCATTACCTTCAGAAAAAGTTCCCTACCATTTCAGATTTTTTATGATAAATCAGGACACTGTCAGCACTTTTAATTTAAAGGATCATGGCAGTGAAAGGGTTAAGGTAGATTATCATGTGACCCCCTGGTATGCCACCTACCACCTTTTTTTCTGAAGGGTGAACAGGGACAGCAGGTGTAAGGACACTTGCCTATACATGTATGTCTTGTTCAGCTGGGGAATCAAATCTGGGTCCTTTCTGTTGTGAGCAGATAATGCTACTATTACAAGTCATGTTTAGTCTGAATCTTATGGGTATGAAGCAGCAGTGCTTCAAGGTTGAACTCTTTTTTCCATAAGGTTCACATGATGATAATTTTCAAGTTGTGATTTTTAGAATCAAAGACTTTGTGTAGGTCCAGTTGTCCAAGTGATGTGAAAGACAAAACTTTATTTCCATATGATACGATGTTTGTACAGATATGGGTGACATTAAGTTGTGCATACAGAAAGCCCATGGTTATACAGAGCATTTTGGGCAAAGGCACCCTGAGCCATGTAACATGTTATCAAGAGCTATGTTGATTTTTCCTAGCATTTTTGTTGTGGCACCATTTGTGCTTACTTTAGGGTTTCACTCCATATTGCTAAAGATAGGTACAAAACTGAGTACGTACCGTAGTTATTATGTAGGGGTATATATGTTTATGTATTACATTTTCAAATATTTATGAGAGTATGGGCCATTTTGATGTTGGTTGAAGACTGTTTATCAGAGGCATTTTTTCTTTTCTTGAGTGGAGTTACTTTTAATATATGTGGATATACATGAAAATTTTGTAGATTTCTAACAGTTTATTATGAAAATGGGAAAAAGAGCTAAGATAGTTGGTAGCTTTGCACATGTAGCATACATATATGTATATTTTCTTATAATTTTGTATTTTAGTATTACAGTAAATTTATTTTTTGTTGCAAACATATAACCTAAATGTAGAATATGATTGAATGTAGAATATGATTGAACATAGACGTACAAGGTGTGCACTTAAAGCTGGGGTAAAATTATTTTTCTTTCATGTGTTTATGATTGATAAATCTGTTTTGTGCACTTTTGTGACATTGTTTCACAGTTTACTGCCAGTGAAGATTTTTAAATTGATTTTTCAACATGATGATGTGTGCTCAGGACTGACTCTAGTTCATTACATGATGTTAATAGTAAATAAACTAGAACATGGCCCCACTTGCTACAGTTTAGTTTCCTGTAGTCTCATTATTTGAAAATGTAAATTTCTTTGTGATCTTTTTTTATTCGTTCCAGATGTCATTTTAGTTAAAGGACACATAATTATTATTAAGAAGCAGGGCTAGAATTTACTGGTATGAGGACATGAGGACTAAGGTGTTTCACCCCCACACAAAGCAGTACACATTCTTCAGTGAATTTAGATACTTAACAAACTGCGTACATGCTTAAAACTTTTTATATTTGCATTGTGAAATGTAGTCTTCCAAATGAATTGATAATATTGTGAAATTATTTTTGTTACCCCAGCTTTAAACGCTAAGACCACCCTCATTAGAGGCACTCTGTAGTTTGCTCATTGGTTGCAGGTACCAGACCCTGATCATCCACAGCCTTACAAGCACCCTGAGCCACACCATAAACACCAGAGGGAGCAGCTTCAACAACTTCTCAGTTTGACAGCTGTATTTGTGCCTGTGGCTCGTAGCTCTGATGCACTCCCTTACTTTGAAGCTTTACAAAACCTTGACCTCACTGTAGACAATGTGACAGTAGCAGCAATGGATCTGGGTATGTGATGTATCCTTAAAATATAGTTTATCCTTTTGTATAATTATGTAATACTAAGATTTAATTACACTTGTATATATTCAGCACGGAGAGAGAGAGAGAGTTTCCAGGTAGTGCTTATCTTACTATTTTCAAAGTTTTGAGAATTTTTTTTTTTATGTTGTACACAGTTTGTAAGCATGTCTCTGTAACAAGGAGTTTCTGCTTAACAGTGGTAACTAAAGGTTCAGTAGGCACATTACAACAAATTTTATTTATTCTATTTTAATTGGAGGGGGAAGTGCAAACCCATATTCATATAGCCCCTGGAGAATGGGCACTGTTCAGGTTTGATCCAAGGAAGGGGAGGATAAGTCCAGTTCCTCAGATCAAAAGCCCTTTCACCAGCATTGGGCATCTCCTTTGAGGAATCATTTCAATAAGCAGTTGTAAAATTCTTGATACTTAATTTCTTTATATGTAATTAATGAAAGTTATTTTGTTCTTTGTCTATCTTTAGACACTCTCTTAGTGATAGTTCTGGGGCTCACCACCCCTATAGCCCAGTTTCTGTTCTGGCCGCCCTAGTTGACTTTTTTCATTTTTTTTTAATTATTTTATTCAGTGGAAAGTGCTTAACTGAATGGAAGGCATTCAGATTCAGTTTAAGAAAGGGGAGGTTAAATCCCATTTCTTGGATCAAGAGCCTTTCATTGGCATCAAGGGGTTCCTAATTGACCGCCTGATCAGCTGAACTTGTGGTGGTTGCAACTGACTGTTTGATGCAGGCATTGCATGGATTTCTAGTTGGCACTTAATAGTCTCCCTGTCATATTTGGGTATTATTATTATTAGTATTATTATTACTATTACTTATTAATTTTTAATTATTTTTTTTCAGCACCACTGCATCTCACCGAGGCAGGGTGACCTAAAAAGAAAAATTAAAGTTTTTCTTCTTAACCTTTAAACTGTCCAAACGTTGATCTACATTCACGTGCATAGTGCTCCGATATTTATTTTCTCCATTTGAAAGCATGTAAAAAAAAAAATTACGTTCGGAGCACTACACACGTCAACGTAGATCTACATTTGGACAGTTTAACCCTTAAATTGTCCAAACGTATATATACGTTTTTTCAACATCTGAAAGTATGTAAAAAAATGTAGATCTTCTTTTTTGTTTTACATTTGAAAACGTGTAAAAAAACTTTTATCTACTTTTTTTTTTGTTATATTTGAAAATATGTAAAAAAAAGTAGATCTACTTTTGTAGCACTACGAATTTGAACGTCAATCTCTTTGGACCGTTTAAGGGTTAAAGGTTAAATTTAGTAATTTATACAGGAGAAGGGGTTCCTAGCCCCTTGCTCCTGGCAAATACTGTTATTATTAATACTTATTGTTAGTTATTATTATTATTTTTACTACATTCATGAATGAAGTACCAAATGTATAGGGGCATACAACACCTGGGGGGAATGGAACACAATTAGTGTTGATCCAAGTAAATTGGGGACAGTTCCAGTTTCTTGGATCCCTTGATAGGTGGATGTTATTGAAACATTTTGGGCCTTTTGTTTATTGATTGCCTCTTAACACACAGTATTGTATCATTATTATTGGAGTTAAATTGAATGTTGTGCAATGCCTGCTCCTTTCATGGAAGGTACCTGATGGTGGTAAAGGGCTTTTGATTCGGAAAATTTGAGTTTCCTTTTGCTCTTACCTCCCATTCTCCAGGTGCTGTACTACCCCTATGAACTTAACATCTCTACATAATAATAATAATAATAATAATGATAATCATCACCTTACCTTGGTGGGAAACTGCCGTTGAGTTAAAAAAAAAAAATAACATGCTTCCTGTTCTCAAAGGAATGATCTCAGCATGCAGACTTACAACCATTCTCCAGTATTTTTTATTATAAGAGTATAACACAAGTACAACACTGATTTTACAGCACCCTTGGTTCTTAGGCTTTGCCAGAATATCAGTGTTGCCAGACAAACAGAGGTTACAAAATAATAATTATTCAACAATATACCTCTGTCCCACCATGGGCTGCTAGAAACTTAAGTTAACAGTAGCATAAATGAAACAGGTTTATTAATTATTGTATTTACATAGAATGTTATGGTACTGTCAGTTACAAAGTTGTAAATTTTAGAATTTTACTGGCACTGTAGAGCTAATCACAAAGATATGGAAGTTGAGGGTTGTCAGGATTTCTGCTGTCTCATTTCATCATAGATTTGTGATATTACAGGGAGGACATCTGGGGTACTTGAAATTGAAACCATTAGATTTTCAGATGAAGGCATACTACTGTGACACACATTCTTTTTAGCTATCTTCTTAAACATTTCATCTAAGCACAGTTTCATGTGCTTCGATTGTTCCCTGTGTAATTTTTCCTGTATCAAATAAAAATTCATTAGAGCTTGTTCTATCACTAAGGAATGTTGTTCTAACCCTTTGATTAATTCACCTGACAGCCTGATTAACTTATCAGTAGCCATAGATATTGACCAGTTAATTGTGTAGCTATTAACTAGGGGCATATATTCTGGGTGTGCTAGGTGAGTGCCGCACACCCACCAAAGATAGTAAATTCATCATGAATATTAAGCTCGCTTGATAACATAATCATAGATCATAATGGGGAACTAATTTTTCCATCCCCTGTTATGAAATATTGTGGCAGTTGCTCTAAGTAATATTTATTCCAGTGTAGTAGGTTCAGCACGGAAGCACAGTGGACCACCTGTGACAATAATCACTGTATACCACTGCTATTAACCCTATCCATAGCTAGGGTTGTTAGTAAAATATGCTAGGAACCACACAAAATCCAGGTATCATTATTAATGGCTTCAGTGTAAATAATGTAAGTGAGTACATGCTACACACAATGCCATTTATGGCTACCCAGTAAGCTAGTCTGACAAAAAAATAATCTTGTATTTTTATCCAGACTAAAAGAGATGCCAGACTTCTGTTGCCAGAAAATCAGTGTTGTACCTGTATGTTTCTCAACTGCACACCAAGGATTAGATTAGGCACTTATTGGCATTCCCTATAGTTTAGTTGTTTGATTAGATGTGAGTAGTGCAAGCTCTAACAACATATTCTTATTGAATATTATTGCCAACCTTAAATGGGGATGTTAGTATATATCAGTATTACAGTCTAAGGTTATGCAAGTTCCTTAACAAATATTATCAGGTATTGCTATCTAGTTTGAAATGCTCTTGTTATCCACCCTTTTATTTTGCAATTACAATAGTTAATCTGTTGTGTCCATTAAAAAATACTTTCAATATAGTTGTGGTGTTAGTAAGTCTAATGTACAGTGGTACCCCAAGTTTCGTCTATAATTCATTCAAGAAGGCTTTACGAGTACCGTTACCAAACAAATTTGTTCCCATAAGGAATAATGTAAATTAGATTAGTCCGTTTCAGACCCCCGAAAATATACTTACAAAGGCACTTATAATAATACACTTACATAATTGTTCTAGTTGTGAGCTGTACAAAACTCGGGGTACCATTTTATTTTTCTTCTGCTCTGTGGCATGGTTTGTTGTCACTTTGTATTCTACTTTGGTTGTAATTTTTATTTTCCATAACATAGGAGCCAAAAATTTCCTTCATTGAAAAACTGTTCTTTGTGGCCCACTGGAATACTTGATTTACTCTGTTCATCAGTCTGGAAGTTTACAATATCCTCAACAGATGCTACTCTAACATAGATTCTAGTGAAGCATGATATGGCATTATATTTCATGTGTTGTTTTTCAGATCAAAGGATGAAAATAAGTGCAGGAGCAAGTATTAAAAATTAGCAAACACATTTTTATATTGAAGTTCTCTGATTTTTATTGATTGATCATTACTTCATGGGTATGAAGTATTAGGAAAATTGAAAGTCCAAATCCTCACTCTTCCATTTATTCTTTTTGTAGTAAAGAACCAGCTGGACAAGCATTTTTCAAGTACATGTATTCTCTGCAGGTGCTGGCTGTGGTCAATGCAAGGCTGACATTAGTATTGGAACTGTATTAGGGCAGTCGGTTAAAAATGATCCATCTGGGGCATAATAGTAGTAATGGTGAAGTAATCATAATAGTTCGAGCAGTAGAATTCCAATAATATTTAAGCTATCTAGATAGAATTAGGGGTAGCTATTAGATTCTAGCTAATCTTTTGAAGCAAGTAATATTACTGTAGGGAGCAAGGGGCTAGTAACCCCTTCTCCCGTATAAATTACTAAATTTAAAAGAGAAACTTTCGTTTTTCTTTTTGGGCCACCCTGCCTTGGTAGGATACGGCTGATGTGTTGAAAGAAAGAAAGAAATATTACTGTATTAAAAAATATTAAAAAAAAATATGCACTAACCTTTTATGGAGTCTACAGCATTGAAAGTAGGGATGTACCAGGGTAGATACAAAATTGGAATCATTAGTTTCCACTAGAAAAATCAGACTGAGTCTGCATTAAAGGTGAAACTTTCAGCAAAGAGGTCAATTAGAGTGAGTGCATTAGGATGTTTTACAAGTTACAAGTGACGTCTGGATGCTTTCCAAGAGATAGGACAGTCTGTAAAGGTATGGAGAATCAATTATGTAACTTAGCCATCGTCACAGAGAGGTGCCAAGTGTTCCTTCACGTAATATTTGTGTGCAAGACATTGTGTCGGATTCATTTAACATGAGTGTGATTTTCCAAACCCAGCAGTCACAGTGTGACCCTCCCAAGAATGAATGACAGGAGTTAAAATTGCCCAATAAAAGAGTGGTGTAGGGAAAGATAAAATCAGTGATTGCATGTTAGTTAACCCCTTGACTGTCGCAACCCCCAATCCTGAGGTGTCTCCTGGTGTCGCAAAATTTTGAAAAAAAAAAAAACTTATGAAATGATAGAGAATCTTTCCCCGATTGTAATGACACAAAAAAAATTAAATTTGATGGAAAACTGATGGAATTACGCTCTCGCGAAGTTAGCGACCTCGGCGAT